GTGACTGAACGGCTCTTCCTCCAGCCCCAGACCAGCAGTAGATCACAGCCACCTCGAAAGGACCCACAGGTCCACCCAGATGACATTCATATAAGCAGTGAAAACACCAAAATTAAAGGAAAAACTTTTCATAAGAAGGACAATGGGATGAAGGAGGATCGCAAAACAAACATGGAATGTGTATTGCCACCTGACCCCGGGGGAGAAGGATTAAAACATAGAGACCATTGTAATTGCAGAGGCATCTGCCCATCTACCCTAGGACTGAGAGAAAGAAGGATGGAGGAGGATGAACATGCAATTAAAAGGAATAGAAAGGAACAGACCAGCCGTGCGCAGTCATCCCAATTAGGCCCGATGACGAGATCGAGGAGTCGTGCGCAGGCTTGGTTGCACCTATAAAAGTGACTCTCTCACCCCCTGGCGCACTAGCCCTGAGGATGCCGGCAGGTGACGGCGAAAGCTAGGCGCTTTTTATTAAATTTTATGGTTTTTATTACCCTGGTGATCATTTTATTTCTTACTATATATATATATATATATATATAATTATCTGTTACCTTTAAAGATAGTCAACATTGTCTATAAAAGGAATCTTATTTTAATCATTAAGATTCATCTGTCATAGATCCATTTAAACAAAAATAAAATTGATTTGTAGACATTTGAGAACAATATATTATTGTAAAATCCCTACATATCAATATTACTAAATAACAATAAATATATTATTTTCTGAAACAAAAGATTTAATCCCATGTAGACAATGTATTCTATCTGGGAATAAGCATCACAAGATTTAATTGAATCTATCACATTCATTTAATTTTACAGACCTGAGCTATTCTTGAATTATATCTGTCTAATATAGCCAGTTGAAAAGTCAGCCAAGAAAAGCACTTGAATTAGTTTGCATCTTAGATAAAAGTTTAAAAATTAAAAGGCTATCTTGTGGATTGCAAACATAGCTATATTTTTTGGACACTACTTCAGTATCTCTTACAATCACAGAAGACTAGTATCTTTACATAATGAGAATCTTTAAGAACACATATTTAGCATTTTTTTCTGGATATAAGCATGTTGGAAGGAATAGTTTGGGGCTGCTAGTTTTAGACTGCATAAATCCAGGTGATCACTAGATAGTAGCAAGATGATACAGAAAACTCTTTGCTGTCCTCTTAGCAATTGTGCAGTTTATGCCTTGCCTAGATCTGGTAGCCCACAGTTAGAGTTGTTGGCATATCCTTTTAACAAAGGCCTTTATAACTGAAGACTCTTCAAGCTTTATTCATCACAATCTAAAGCTTTTGAATAGCCTTCCTGCTTTTGTGAAACAAAGAATGAAAGGTTATAAAGCTGATGGCTGATCTCAGTTGTATCTGCTATCTATATTCAGTTGAATGGGTCAATACCTGTATAAGCTTAGCCTCAAACAGGAGAGAAAAATAAAATAATTTTAATCCCAAGAATATATTTTTCCATATTTTAATCACAGCGACAATAAAAGCAACCACTTTTCCAAAGCAGTAAATACAAAGTTGTTTCACAGAGTTTAATCTATAATTTTCACCATAAAGTTGTCATTAATAGACCCTGTAGTGCAGGAGTGTCAAACTGCTGGCCCGCGGGCTGGACGCGTCATGTGGAAGCCACGCCCACCCTATTGCCTGCAATGGCAAAACAGTCCTGATATGTCATGTGACGTCGCAAGTTTGAAATGTCTGCTGTAGTGGATGGGCAGTTGTATAGATTTTATGTTTTTACAATTTTACAATTGTATTAGTTATATTGTAATCTGCTGGGAACATTTTGATTGTTTGACACTATATAAAGTAAATAAATAAGTTTGAGTATGAAAATATTTTATATCCCATATCATAGCAATTACTATATTTTGTTTTCTTCCATTCAATTTTGGGTAAATTATTTTCCCTCCTCCATGGAAAAAAATGTACTTATTCATCTAAACAGAGGTCAGGGTCTTTTTAAACAAACAAAAATGACAACTACACAGAACAATGTTCCTGAATAACGCAAGCTTAAAAAATACTGCATATATTTCTAAGCACATCCTGTTTTTCTAGTGATCCCCTCACTCAAAATAAAGCATTAAAATGCAAATAAAAATTCAGAGCTTGTTACTGTTTCATTTAACATATAATATCAGATGAATGCTAAATGTATCAGACTTCATAAGACTTTAAAAATGTTGACTATTGAATAAGTAGTCAGGTAAAGGTAAGTACTTTCTAGCATAGGCTGAGGATCAAAAGATTTTATTTAAACACAAAATATCAGCAATCGCAACCTAAGCACCCTAGTTAAGGAAAGTGAAGGTTCAGGCAGATATATTTATCAACTGTACATTTCAGAAGTGAGAAACAGGATTTTTTTTAACAGTGTCAATAACAACAGCAAAAATCTTTTTGGTCACTGTCAGCTATAAGGCAGAATAGACAGGCATTTTTAAGTGGAGTAACCTACAGTAACCTACAGTGGCTAAACTACTTAGCCTATCTGTATTTTATGATCATAACATACATGGCTGATGAACTTTCCCTAGGGAAATTTTAATTACTTAATTCAGTAAGTTTGCTTTGAGAGAACTGCATGTTTCTTACTAGATATATGGAGCTATAGGCACAATGAAATCAGATTATCTGGTATAATTTGCCATTCTATGATTTATTGCCAATTTAAGCATCCATAACAAATGTATATTGGATCTGAGACAAAAATCTTCTAATGGCTGACGTTCTACTTCCCTTGGTAAATAATTTCACATCCTAATATCTCTCATTACTTAGTCCCACACAGTCTAAGACTATGCTACAGTAACTTAATGCAACATTTTGTGTCCTCTTAAAGACAGTTTGGGTTGGTAGGAATTCAAAGGTATTAGCTATGTTTTACGAAACCACTATGAACTTAATTTCCTACAAATGCACAAAGGATGGCTGCCATCAAATAAAAAAATGTTTTTTAGTTTTCTTTAACAAAAATGCCATTCAACATGATAATAATTTTGCACTTAGTAATCATAAGTGTGCTACTTTTACTATTCATATTTCTTCCCATAGAAGTAGGTGAAGAGTTAGGATTAATTCTACTTTTCAATTTCCAATGAGTATATATTCCCAGAAAATTATATAGTAAGAAGTTATTTGGGGACATATCTGCCCAAATAAATATTATATTTGGTAAAATATCTATTCTTTTCAATCACTTACTTTATATTCTGTATTGCTTAATACATACAAGGTGCTCCATTTAGTTTTGAGGAGAACATGTGAAATAACTAATAGTAACAATTCTAAGACTTTCATCTCTTTGTATTGTTATATATTACTCCGAAGTTCTTTGCTATGAGGAACCTTGGAAATGCTATGCTGATTTAAAAGGTAATGCTGTGAAATCACTTAAAAGGCTAAACAAACAATTTCAATGAAACATTTACATTCATGAACTCATTACCCTGAAAAAGGGAGTAAACATGCAGCCATACATATGTGACAGTGAATAAGTTATTTTGAAAGTGAGGCAAGTCTGTCCCTGCAAACAAAAAGAGGTTTTTACCAATTCTTGTCACTTGTTATACACCATTATGTACAAGAAACTACTCATTCTTGCACTCACAGTGCAGATTTTTGCTATAGGTTTTAGTAATGTCTTGATTGTGATCATGTTCCAGAGCCTCACATAATAAGATGTGAAGATGAGAACATGAGAACGCTACTTTTCATTAGAGTGTATTTTTTACATTCAGCACGATGTTACCGGCATCTATTTTGACTGGTAGGTGCTCTCCTGAGTCTGAAGAAGAGAAATGATTTTCCAATCACTTGCTGACTATTTCTTACAACTGGGATTAGAGGTACCAGGGAACTTGTATTCATGTAGAATATGTTTTACTACAGCTTCTGTATCATGTGCCTATTCAACCACAAAGTCCAGTACTGTATACTATTCAACACACTATTATTTAAGACATTATGATTTTTATGTAAAAGAAATGAATTATTTTATAGTCACTGCTCATTCAAAGAAAAAAATATTACCCAGACCAATCCCTTATCAATGATTTTAAACAATTCTTGCTCTCTGAAGTGCTCATGTTAGAATAACATGTCCTTGTGGAAAATTCTTTGAACAGATAAACTACTCCAGGATTTGATCATCCGTGGTAAATATAAAGAATAGCAATATAACAAGAAAAGGGATATATTGCAGGAAACGGAACCCCCCTTAGACCAAATCATGAATAGGGGAAAGAGGAGTCAGAAACTGCAACAACTAAGCTAAGTGTATAATTAATATACATTCTACTATATCACCAGCAGTTGAGAATCAATGTGCATTCATTTTAGAAAAGCAGAGGGTGGCTTATATGTCACATAAACAAGTATCTGTGGCTAAATGTTATTTGAGACAATTTAAAGAATTATATTGCCATTGATGCCAAAGTGAATCTTATATGCTTCAGTTTAGAGAAAAGGATTTTTGGCAGATTCATCTCTTATTGGTCCTGCAATTCTGAATAATCATAATTTGAACCTACTAGAGCTATTTTCAAGAAAAATTATATGACATTCACAGAACTGAGTGGAAGCTCTCAAATGAGAGAGAAAGAAATGGAAAGAAAGAGGAGTTCCAGTCTCCCATTGTATCTGGCTCTACTTTTGCCTCCTGGTGAGGAATTTCTAAAAGTCAATAAAAATACTGTTCTCACAACATGGACAGTAGTCTTTGCAGGACATCTACCACCCTTAGGATTGCCATATACCCTGCTACATCTGATCATCAAAGTTGAACTCAGAGAGCCAGCGAAGTTGGTGGAACCAACCCAATACATAGTCACCCTCCTGGATGACTATGGTGCAGAGTTGAAAAGGGTGACATAAACAGCGTTGGAAAAGGGGCGGGGAAGGAAGGAAGGAAGGAAAGAAGGAGAGAGGGAGAGAGAGAGGGGAGAGAGGGAGGCTTGGCTTCTAACTTACCTTAAGCAAGGCGCTCCGGCTGGCAGCAGCGAGTTCCCGCAGACTGGCGGCAGCTGAAGCAGCTGCAGCGGCCACACTCGGGGAGCCGCTGGACGTGGTGGCCACGGCCGCGGATTGACAACCAGGCTTAACAGGGGGGACCACGCTGTTTCCTCCACCTCCTGCTCCAGCGGCGGTAGGGTTGTCCCCGCTGTCGCCGCCTGAAAGGCCAGCGTTGCTCGGGGATTTGGGACTGCCGGGGCCGCAGTTGCCACCCCCGCAGCACCCGCTTCCAGCGCCAACGCGGGGTCTCTGCCGAATGCCGTCCAGCAGGCGAACGAGCAGGATGTTGGCGGGCAGCTCGTCGACGCCGCAGCCCACCAGGATGCGGCACTCGGGGCAGCGCAGCTCGTGGCGGGAGCTGACAATGCTCTCCAGGCAGCGGCGGCAGAAGGTGTGCTGGCAGGGGAGCACCTTGGCCGTCGTGTCCAGGCGCTCCAGGCACACGGAACACTCCAACAAGTCCAGCAACGACGACTCGTCCATGGCCCCTCCGGCGGCGGGCGGCGGTCCCTCACCGTTGCCCCCGCTGAAGCCGCCTCCCGCCGCCGCCGAAGCCGCTCGCCGCTTCCGCCTCTCCTCGGCTGCTCGCTTCTCTGCAGCGGCAGCCTTGGAGGAGCACAGCCAGGACGCCCCTAGGAGCATTTAGACCAGCGAGGGAGGCCGCGGGAGAGGCGGCAGCCCCAGCACATGGCAACCGGAGCAGGGGCCGCCGAGCTCAGCCCGCCCAGAGCCTGTCAGCGAGAACCGCCGAGCGGAGGGCGGGGATTGGGAACGCGACTCTCTCTTCTGTCCGCTTTCCTCACCGGCAGGCGGGCAATGGCTCCCTGGGGTGGGCGGGGGCTGCCAGCCGCTCCGCGCGCTCCCCTCGTAGCCGCCCGCCGTGCCCCACAGAAGAGGCGCGAGCCGCTCCTTGGCCTCTTGGCAACCTCCGCCAGCGAACGGAAGCCCGGGCCGAGCGAGGGGGACGCTGCCCTCCCGCCAGAGAAGGTCAGCAGCACCTGCTCTCTTCTCTTCGGGCTGCCTGGCTGTCAGCAAGCGCGATGGGACACGGCTCTTCAAAGCGCGGCGCTTTTTCGGCACCTCCGTGTTGGAAGCGAGGGCAGCGTCAGAGCCAAGGGCCGGCAGGCGGGCGCTGAAAAGCCAGCGTTCTCTTCTTCGGGGCTCGGCGGGCTGCCTTCCTCCGCAGGTCCTTCTACTGAGCGGCGGCTACCTCGTTCTCCCACCGCCGTTCCCTGTTGTGTACGGCCAAGGCTGGAGCAGCTTCCACCCGCTGGGTCTCACGCATCTTCCAAATATTCCTCACGACGATGGTGCTGAAGATACAACGGTGGGGGAGGGGTTGGGGGTGTCGTGACCGATCAGTTGCTCTAATCCTCGTTTGTTGCGTGGATCCTGGTGACAACGAGTTTAGCCTGATCCCAAATCCCGGGCAAGTTCTGTTGGTGGCAGGTTTAGGGTCTTTCTGTCCTTCCTGGGCTCACTAACCCCCAGGACAACCTCTCAGTCCCCGCCCTCGACTCCTTCGGCGTCGGTCCTGTTATTATCCTCCAGGGATGCTGCCGCTGCTTTGCTGCTCGCTGCTAAGCGAAGGGGCCTGAATTGCACAATGCAACTAAGTCCTTCATTTGGTCCACGGAGGGATTCAAACGTCTTCCATCTAGGAAGCGCAAGATCCGTTATTTTTTTTCCTCCTTTCCCTTCAAAATTGTTCCCATCACTTTGTTTTCTGTTCCTTTTGGAATCCAGAAATCAGATCCCGCTAGAGGCGAAAGAAAGTTACGTAGGTATTCGCAATAAGACACCAACTTTGCGCTGTCTTATGGCGCTACGACACCGCAGAATGTTCTCTTAGTCATAGAATCCATCGCAGAGGGAGATGCATATTGGAGCTCGGTTTCGGCCAAGCGTCAGAGGAACGGAAATACGTACCCCAGGAGCAATCGGAGGAGATGGGAAGTTTGAAGAACTTTGCCCACTCCGGACGAGTCAAACATATTCCTTGCAATCGGCTTCCCTCTAGTGGTATTTTGGTAAACTTGCAGCGGGAATGAAATGTTAGGTTCCATGCACACACAGCATGTTGGTGCGTTGGTGTCCATATGGAGGCGCAGTAGATGGAAGCCATTTACAGACCTGTGCATGGCCTGCAGTTAGAGACTAGACAGTCACTTTTCTGAGATGGTATAGGTTGTCCTGCTTAAGCAGGCCTCTGGACTAGAAGACCTCCAAGGTCCCTTTCTATTCTATTCTATTCTATTCTATTCTATTCTATTCTATTCTATTCTATTCTATTCTATTCTATTCTATTCTATTCTATTCTATTCCCTTCCCTTCCCTTCCCTTCCCTTCCATTCTATTTAACCGTATTAATAATCAAATGATCTGTCAGATTAAAGAAATTATTAAATAACCATAGAAATGGACCTTGGTCTGAAGGGCTGGAAGCTTTGTTCAGTGAAAATGTGGGCAAAACATTTTTGAGGCGGATGGGAAAGAAAAAAATATGAAGTATAAATAAATAAATAAAATCCTGACATATGTATGTTAATTTTTTTTTTCAAATTCTACTGATATATTTCAGGATAACACTTTAGGACAAGAAATTTTGTAATAAACAATTTGTATTGATTTTAAATGTTGCTATTTAGTTCACTTTCAAATGTAATTTAACACACTTGACAAGAAAAATTGGAAATGACATATCAGTACATTAAAATATTCTTGTTTACTTTGAGGCCGCTAACATGACCCAGGCTCAAATTATCTGTGGTTTGTTTTGTGTTTTTGGGCCTGCTCTTGTACATTGTATTATAGGAGGAGGATTGAAGAAAACTGGTTTGACCCGATGCAAATTTTATTCTGCCAAAATTGTTGAAAAAATCATAAAGGTATTACAGTAAGGGAAAAATAAAGGGAAAAATAAAAATGTGGATGAGTTAGATATGAAATTGGCAGAGGACTGCTGCCTTTTTGGCCCATGTTTATTAGATAAGATAACCTTTATGGTCACTTTTTTCTGTGAACACCGTGGCACACATTAAAAAATGAAATTCTGATGCCTACTCTCAAAAGAATATATATACACACACATCCATGCACATACATATACATATGCTATAAATACACATATAGATACACACACACACATATATATATATACACACACATATATATTAATCACAGATCATTTAGAATACATAGTGGGGGGAAAAATCTTTAGAAACAAGATTAGGTATATAAATTCAAAACCATTCTCTTGTGGTGTTGTTTTACTGAAAACCACTGCTTTCTGTCATCCCATCCTCTGCTTGAAATTATTTTGTGGTTTCAGACACATTTCTAGTCTTCCTGTGAGCTACACTTTTAATAAATTATCCATTCATGATCTCCCTATGTAATTATGGTGCCCAGAGTCCTATTGTCTGCTTGTCATATAGCTAATATAGCTAAGGCCAATCCTTGACCTACAATGTGGCTGTAATTGCATGAAGACATTGTTGCCTCTCAAAAAAAAAAAAAAATAGTTATGGAGCTGAAGGAAGAAAAACCTCTGCTTCTTAAATGTTTTGAAAATAATATATTTCAGTACATGTGTTAGACTGGTCCTTTTTTAAAAAATCAGAGGATCTTTTGTTTCTGGGTAATATTTAGCAGTGTCCTTGCAAAAACAGACCAAACCTGCTAGCAGAATATGCTCTAAATAATACTGATGTAATGAGGAAATATGAAATACAAGCATCAAGGACTTTGTCTGCTTATTCTATTAGAGCTGTTAGTCTCAGGAATAAAAGCATTGGACTCCTCTCTAGAAAAGAGAAAGAAATGCAGTAAAAATGTTGTAGTACTTTTACTATTTTTCTATTTATTTATTTAATTTATATTTATACTTCATTTCCTTCAAAGACACAATCTTTAAAAGCTTTGTTCAGGTCACAAGATTACTGAATTGTTCTCCTAAGGAAACAGGAATAATTCTGCAGTCTCACTTTGGTGTTACACTTGCTAGAGACAAATAGGATTGCTATTATATCTCCTGTGATGGTGCAAGTCATTACACTGATAGAGGGAAGTTATAAGCCGCTGTACCATTTAAGGGTAGAAGTTCTGAAACTTTTTCGGATCATGGCACCGTTAGTGTCTCAGAAATTTTTTCACACATCCAAATTGTCAATCACCTTGAGCTAGTTTCTGAAGATGTTAAGTACTGTTGAGCTTCCCCTGACCATTTAAAATTTCCCACTGTGCCCTGTGAACTTGCTAAGGCACCACTGCACACAATTTGGAAACTGCAGACAAACAGAAATTCTGTATTGCTGCCTAGGCTGCTCTAAGCTGTCTCTGTAATTCCAGACCAGACTGAATGGGTTGACAACTGTGCTGAGCTTCTGCAAGGCTTATGGGTCCTTGCCATGCTTCTTGCCCTTCCCACTTATGCAGGAAAGCAATGTACAGACTGGCTTAGCAGGGCCTGCCTTTTCCTTTTAGGGTTTGTTCTCTCTTTGCTAGTCTCCATGCCTTTCCTTTGCATTCCCAAATATATCCACACATGATGCTTTCCCACATTGTTCCCACATTACAGTATCTCTTTTGATGCTAAACCATCCAATCCTCTGATGCTACAATAATTAAAACAACAAGGAACAGAAGTCATAGTCCAGCTTTGCAAAACTAAGTAGCAAAGTTCTTATCTTAAAGATGCTTTATAGGGGAATGTGAAAGGAAAGTGAACACACTTCATTGACTTAATTGGCCATTGTTGGATCAACTGCAAAATTATTTAGAAATAGAAATAACACAGGATGAAATGTTGCATGGAGTAGGAAGGGGTTTTGAAATTTGGAGCTGCTTCTAGAATAAAATGAGAGACCATTTGCTCTTAATGGGCTTTGGATTACTAACATTCCCCCCTTTTTTTGGTGATGAGACCTTGCTGAAGAAGAGGAGGCAATAACTGAATTCAGAAATTTCAATAGTTGCAAAAGCAATAGGAGGGACTGATATGCATTAATTAATTTTAATACAGGTAGTCCTATATTTACAACCATTCATTTAGTGACCATTTGAAGTCACAACAGTACTACAAAAAGTGACTTATGACCAGTTTTCACACTTAAAACCATTGCAGCATCCCCATGGTCACCTCATCAAAATTCAGGCACTTGGTAACTGGTATGTATTTAAGTCAGTTGCGCTGTCCTGGAGTCATGCGATCGATCACCTTTTCTAACCTTCCCAGCTGGCTCCCAACAAGCAAAGCCAATAGGGAAAACCAGATTCTCTTAATAACTGCATCATTTGTTTAACTGTAGTGATTTCCTTAACAACTGTGGCAAAAGGGTCATAAAATGAGTCACAATTCAATTAACAACTGCCCCCCTTAGCAACAGAAATTTTGGGATTTGATTGCAGTCATAAGATTAGTACAATTGTACAGATAGTGCAATTAATACTTTTAATAAAGATATACAAACTTCTATTTTCACAACTATTGTTTTGACTGCACAACTAATGCTACACAAACTGCAGAAAAGGAAGATCACTCATTCTTAAACTTGTACATCATGTGCTACATTGTCCTATCTCTGTTCCTACAGAACTGAATTAAAAATTAATTAAAATTTCGGTAGCACATATTTTTTTAATTTATTCTTTTATAGCTTTTAAAATAATGTCAGAGAAAGGAAAAAAAACTCCACAAAGATTAAAAATACATGCATTGTCAAAGAAAAGGGGGAAAAACCATAGAAAGTGTTTCAAAAAAGAAAAAGAAAAAAGTGAAGAAATACAACAAAAGGAAAAAAAGGTATAATATATAATTTTGGCTGTGAATAGCTACAGCTATATATAGTTATCTAATGCAATTATTATTCATGTTCATATGTACAATATTTCTAATGCATTCATATAACTATCATTTTTAAGCTATTGCGTTTTATATAAATGAGTCTCATTTCATTATATCTGATACCGAGTCTCTGTCTAAAGGCAATCATCTCATAGGTGGCAAGTAAATGGGGCCATAGATTTATCTTTCCAATGTTACAGTCTAAGTCTTTTGGTCATGCTAATGGCAACCAGAATCTATTTATATTGTCCATCTGTCAAATTTCAAGTACAGATAGTCTTCTACTTACAACAGTTCATTTAGTGATCATTCAAAGTTACAACAGCACTGAAAAAAATGACATGACCATTTTTCACGTGAACATTGCAGTCATCCCCACGGTTATATGATCAAAATTCAGATGCTTGACAACTGGTTCATATTTATAACAATCACAGTATTCCGGGGTCATGTTATCACATTTTGTGACCTTGTGACAAGCAAAGTCAATGGGTAAGCCAGATTAACAACATGTTTCACTTAAAAACGGTGGCAAGGAAATTGGTAAAATGGGGCAAAACTCATTTAACAAATATAAATATAAGTTTTGAGCTCAATTGTGGTCATATCTGTATATAGTTCAAAAGAATATTATTAACTGAAATTGTTAGCTTTAGTTGTACAATTATATTTATATAATCCCAAAACTTTTTAAACATAAGACATTGTCAAAATATGTGTTTTAAAGATTGGTGGCAAACATTTTAATAAACGGGGCATGCATCAAATGGATTTTTAGCTGGACTGTAAAATTATCCTGCTCATATCTTTTAAAACAATTTTAAGATAGGCTTTTAGGTGTTTTCCACCATCATCTGCATTTTCCAGAGGGCATTAAAATATTTATTTATTTCATTCAGTTTAGGCACTGTCTGATTCCATCTGACTTTGGGAAGCTGACAGTAAAATAAGCAATAAAAATGTAATGCAAAACAAAACAAGATAGGGATCTGCTTGCTCAGTACAAAAACATCAACAAAAACACACCCAATGAGAAGCTCCAACCTAATGCAAAGCCCAAATGAAGTAAACCAAATGATATTTAGAACTTTGCAGTATGAACTCCACAACTAAAACATTTTCCAAATTGTTTTATATCAGTCACAAAAATGGATTGTTGATACTAATTACATAGTAATTGTCCTTTATTAGTTAACTTTTAATAACCTGTAGTCTACAATATGTTTCCAAAATTCAGTGTTTTTTTTCCAGGTGGCCTAACAGGCCTTAAAACTTTTTGTTATGCAAGAGAGAAAAACTTAGAACATTCCCAAAATAAGAGCACCAACAGGAAGCTGCTAATCCATAAGACGGATGCCATCTCTCCATCTCATTTTTGCAATGACCATAATTTATAGCAAGAGTGTTGTCCAACAGTATATTTCTCTTTAAATTACATTGTGGACCAGCTTTTTAGGGCCAGAGAAAATCTTACAGAATTTATTTTTAATTAAACTTTCTTATACTTGTACAACTGTGAAAGGATCTTCCAATGATCTGAATAACAACAAGCTGACAAGGATATTATTTCAAAAGCATGGTTACAAATTATTTGAAGTAAGACATTGCTTACGTTTGGTTGGTTTTTACTTATCTTGGATTGAATCTAGAAAACACTAGAATAAGAGACAAAGAGAGATAAGATTGAAGGCATTCCTTGGGCCATGGGAGAAACTTTTCTTAATCTGGTACTCTCATCAAGCATTGGATTAAAATCTAGAGATTGCTTGATTAAGGCAACAGACCTGGAATGCTCTTCTCTATGTATCTACTGTGTGAGGTAACTCCTTCAATTTTCCTTTGGTAATGATGATGAAAGTTGTCGCAACTTCAGTTATA